CCAAAAAAAAAAAAAAAAAAAAAAAAAATAGGGCCTACTGCTGAAGTAAAGGAATGCTGTCAGTACACAGCTGGAAATACAAATTTACCACAGAAACACGTATCGAACTAACAATATGCCTTTATCCATGCTCTCAAAATATTAAAGCATTGTGAATACTTCGTAAAAGGTAAAAAAAAGTCATGAATAGATATGATGCATATTACCAAATCTATTTAAGGGTTATTTCGGTCGATACCATTTTGTCTACTTCGACTCACACGAAGCAGTCAAACTGTCGGGTGGCCTGTCCGAACTTAAGCCCACCAAATACCTCGACACCCTTGTCGACCCTTTTTTTGCTACAAAAAACCTGGTATGTGCTGCTTTGGACAGAATGTCACTGAAATGTTCCGGGCGATAATCGCTGGCCGCCACCAGCCTTTCGTATAATTGTAAAAAGGTGATATCTCCATGCCCAATATCATTGGTATACCAATCCAAAACGTCGGCCCCCGTTCTCTTTATGACTTACGTGTAATTTGAAAGTAATCCTAGAGATGAATTTGACGGCAAAGCGAATATATTTCCTCGTGGCAATAATATGCATGCACAGAAAGCTCATTTTACAGCGAATTTAATAACGATGTTTGCGACAACCGACTTCGTTGGGGTGATTTTTTTTTTTTCGGAGAACGGGCGAAGATCGGTGCGCGTGCAGGATGTCATCCATAAAAATAAAAAAAGTGTGGCCTAAAGTTAATTACGCGATAACACTCTTCAAAGACCTTCTATTTTGCAAAGTGCCTGTGCTTCTTTTTTTAAATTTTATTTTGGTTTTGTATTCCAATTTGGCAAAGTACAGTATTAAAGGATTTGCGTCTTGCCGTCAGAATGGTCTGAACGGAACATATTCTTCAGAAAACATGCCCAACTAACGATATCTTTATCCAAATACACAAATTAAAAGCTCATTTTGTAAATTTTTGGCTTTAAAAAACGTCCTATTTGCTCGGCCTGGGAGTTAATGAGCTACGTGGTCACGTGGTCCGATGACGACAATCGAGCCACTGGAGAACAGAGCGTGCTTAGCTGTCAAACTGAGCTGCATTGTCTACCTGTAAGATGACTTCTCTGGCTTCTGATAAAAGTTAATACTCATTCAAATCTCTTACCCGACGGATCTAAATCCTCATGAAGCTGTGTAAAACCATTCCCGTCTAGTCAATTCTTTAACGAGCATTTAATTATGGTTATCCCAAGTTGTATAAAACACTGCATTTGAATGAGTAAAGGGTACTGTGGATTATTGCATTTGAGGGCCATGTTATTTGTGAAATTCAATTAATTTTATTAAACCGCTGACACTCCGTCTTGGATACTTTTCTTAAACTGAGGTAAACGATGCCCGTTACCTTTACAAGTCCCATCTTAATCATCCATCTAACTGGAACTTCCTTTACCTCTTAATTAGAGGGTTAAATGGCTGGCGATATTTATCTCAGGTTAAAATCTACCTGTGCTTTAGTTTCAAAGAGCAGCTCCCGCAGACCTGGGGGTACTAGATAAAATCTGTACACCGGGTTTATTGAGGAGCTAGAGAAACAAAGGAAGAATTTTTCCTGCACAGCTTCATAGGAATTTTAGCACGGACTTGATCCAGCTTAGACCTTCTAATTAACAGGGTTACATGGGCAATTTTCAAATACAAAATAAACAAATAATAAAACTATATTTCAGTTAGCCTCCTCTTAAATAAATATATCGTTCTGGATAAATTAGAACATTTATTAAATCGACAGAAAATTTTTTGACTTAAATGATCATTTTATTATTAATGGAAATTAAGCTACTATATGGGGCACATTTGCTGAGATTACGCTGTTCTTGATGTTTTGCGTTAGTCTACATTTTGCTGTGCGTGCTTGGAATTTTTTAAATTTTTTTATACTCACGTAAGTAAAACTGCACATTTAGTAAACATTCAAGTAATGATTTTTCCCATGCTACTTATAGCAAACAATGCTCTTTTACCTTGATCTGCTACATGTTTTTGGGTTTGAAAAAGCATACAAATTTGCAACAAGTTTTGTGTGCAGACGCAGAACTTGTATTTCAAGGTATAAAATGATAAATCTTTTAAATTATTTTATACTTCAGATGAAATAACCTTCAGAAACAAATCCTCAAAGCATAAACGAATTAGGATTACGAACCTAATATACCGCTCTTTTTTTCTGATTGTTCTTCAACACGTTTTCTTCCACGGAAGTAATGCCTGGGCATACGCTTGCTTCAAGTTACCCTGAGAGCAATTACTTTTATTAATGTTCGCGACGGTGTTTGAACTCAATTGTTTAAATATTGATATTAAACGTCATTTACAAATACCAATAAAATCACCCCATGAAATAAATGACATATTTTGAAAAATATGAAAGCCCACCAAGACGATTTTGATACCTGTTATTACCTGGGTTGGGAAGTGTAGCGGTGCATAATTAACAGGTTTGTTGTAAACGAGCTTTTGGTCAACTACAATGCATTTAAAATGCATCAGCAATCAGTAAGTTTGCCAACTGATGACAGTTAATCTGAAAGACTACCAGCTCTTGACATGATCTAAACCACCTGAGGTGACCATGATCTAGAGCATCGCAACTATTGTCACCGAAGTTAGTAAGTAAGTCACGGAAGACCGTCACAGACAAAGAAAGATTGTCAACGAGAGCTGCAATTTTGGTGAATCCCACGGCAACACACCGAGGCATAACGAAAATTCCTCAACTCCGTTCAACACAACTTTCCTTAACTTCTCCGTCTGTATGCACCATGCAGCTCAGTTGAGTCTCATAGACCTTTATCGTGATTGTCGTCACAGTACCACGTGACCCAGATCTGTTGCTTCATTTATGCATATTGAGGTGAGGTTTACTAAAACGCTTTTTTCTACTAATTAATTGTTTTTTATAATTTTTAAATGGTGGGGGGGATCGATTAAAACATACCTCTGGTGTATAGATTGAGTGCTGAATCTTCAGAATTCGAGAAATAGATTTTTATGAGTCTATTCTCCTTTAAGGATCCTGTAAAGCATCCAGTCTTGCTTTCAGTGAATGGATACCCACCCTCAAATTCAACTGATGCCAGTCAGTGTGTGTCCATGCCAGCATGCCCCCATCAAATGTATTTCAACCAAGCCAACATCAGCCAAGCCCAGGATGCTGCAGCAGACAATGCCTCCTTCAGCCAAACTGGGTATCCAGCCATATTTGTGTCTCCTGCAGGCCTGCTCACTGTGATCCTACGACAAGAAGTCCATGTGGAAATGACAACGGACAGAACAATCCGCGTGGTGAACTATAGGCAAAAGTGTGTTGCTGCCACCAATGCTCGCGGCACAGCCAACAGCATCTTCCACGCAGCTGCAAAGATATACCAGGAACAGACCACAACGAACGTGGAAGTTTTCTGGGACCGACGAGCTCGGTTATCCACAGACTCCATCGTGTTTGCATCTGGGACTGACTGCCACAAGCTGCAGGGCACAAGTGTTAGCAGAAGTGAGGAGGGCTTCTGTGATATGTCCCTGGACAACACTGTATCCTTGCTTTATTCTTCGCGTGGATATGGTCCCAGCCTCATCTCCCACCTGGAAGAAGTGGCCCAAAACAGTACTTATGAGTTTCACAAGGCAGGTGCAGTGACTATTTTCATAAATGGCATAAAGATCTATCAGGATCCTAAAGGCGACGTCCACGTTTACTCTGGCCCGAAGGTCATCAAGACGTCACCGAGTTTTGGGTCAGTCTTTCTGCAGACTCACTTCATCAGTGCATCTGTGGCCCCTAACTGGAGTGTGACTATCCAGCGTGGGGGCAACAGTCTGCATGCCAGCTACCTTGGATTCATACTGTCCAATGAACACGTGGAAACTGGCTTCGATCACAATCGAATGTTTTTCTCTCGAAGAGTCACACCAAGACGGTACATTCCAGCTGTGCAGATGCCAGCAAATTTCAGATCTCGACTGCGTCCATTTTCCACACGCAGGTTTCAGCATCACCCTAGGTACCCCTCGTTCAAGCACTACAGATCTAGGTCTGAGACTCCAGTCAGGCGGACCCAGTCCCGCGGAACCCAGCCGAGAAATGGAGCAGACGCCCTGGACTAGAAATGAGGCACTTTGTTAGCAATAGCTTGATGCCAGACACAGGGTGTGTTCCACCTGACAATGGACTGTAGGAAAAAAAAACTTGGTGGATGGGCTCACATCTCTTTTGTGAAACCATGTAGATATCAGTTTTGTTTTAATTTTTTAACAAAGTTTGCAGAACATGGCCCTGGTGAATACACTAACAAGATCCTGTATTTCGAGGATGTTGTTTCGTTTTGACATGTTATTAGCAAAAAAAGTGAAATGTACATTTTGCTGGGACATAAATACTGAACTCGAGACATCTAGCAGTCACATGGACAAGCACACTGCGAGGAAATCAAAATTTAAGAGCATTTAGCAGATTTCCCAGAGCTGTTTTGATGAGTTTTGACATTGAAGGACCATTTTGCTTCCAAGTATCTTGTTTAAAGGGATGCATTTAATATACTGGGTGACCACTTTGTGAGGCAATGACCTATCAGAAATGCAAACAATGTACATATGTATATAGCAATATTAAAAAAAAAAAAATCAAATCCCACCACAACCTCTCTCCAGTAGAATGCACAGAAACTTTTTTCAAATTCTTATTTCTGCTCTCGTTTCTACTTGGAAAATATTTTAATTAAGCAAAATATACTAAAAAAAAAAAAAAAAAAAACTGTGTGAAATATCAATGCTCAAAACTATAATACTTTATCCACATACTTCACATTGGCTCTCTCATTATAATTGTTATCATCATTATTGCACAGTTTTTTTTTTTTTTTTTTTTTTACATATTTTTTTTTTATGTTGTTGAGTAAAGCTACAAAATGCTGGTCTTTGTTGGTCTTTTTTCTAATATTGAAACTAAGGATACTGTAATGTAATAAAAAATTTATTTTCCTATTTACACACCAAAGTTTCTTTCTCTACAGGTACCACTTCAAACCCTTTTCAAATTCAAATGACTCTAAATCATCCGATAGTTGTTATTTATCAACTACTCTAAGAAGTTACAATTCAAGTCTGTTATTGAGTGATTCTTGTACTAATACCCCTTCAACAGGAATGGTTCAGCAGAACAGCCTAATGGCAATGAGCTGTTACTTTATGAAGGCTTTGTGTAACTGACCACATATCTCTTCAATAATGCTATGGGTTTTCGTATGTGAAAAAAAGAGCAGGCAGTGAATTAGTACACTACTCTTTAAAAAGAAAAATTACTACAAAAAATCTCTCTGAATAAATATGTATTTACCCAATGAAAGGCCCACTGCTTCAGTCATAATTTGTAACCAAATTTTATAAAAGGTGACAGAAAATAGTCTCAATCTAAACTGTTATCAAAATGTCACCAATTTTCCTATAATGATGTCACTAAAATAAATACTGTACTTATCGTTCATATGTAGTTTCATATTAAAATCACCGTCACTCTTTTCATTGACAAGATCTTCAAATTTAAGTTATAAAATTACCATTTCACTGCAGATTTTTAAACATTTTTCAATGTAAAAAAATACTTCTTCCACTACTTAACTAATACTACAATAAACAATTACTTTTAGTTACCAATTTTTTTCAACACAGATAATTTATTGTCAATAAACCATATCAATGGAAATAAATATATAGTTAAATAAAATAAAAAGCTACCGACCATACAGGCTTACAAGTACAAAACACATACATTTTTTCTATTTGTTCTTAATTCATACAAAAATGGTTGTGTTCTGTTACCAAGAGCTGTAAGTGCTATACCATTGTATATGCTGCCTTTAACAAGATAACTCTCACTGTATTTTTAACTACCATGGAAATCGGGTCAAATTCAAAGATTTTGAATTGAACCATTTACTTACGACAGTCCACATTCTTCATATCTTTCCCAATTAAAAGACATGTAATGATACAAAGCAAAACTATTTCTGGTATTAGAAAGTCACTTGGTACAGTCTGAGAATGTGAGTGTGATTATTCACAATGTAAAAAACTGTACTCTCTTTCAGTGTTTGGGGTTCTCTTTAACATCATTTGCGTAACAATAAATAAAACACATACAGCACTAATTTTCTGAGAAAAAAAAAGTTCTTGTTTCCTAATTTCCCTGGCCCTACTTGTCATCTTTTTCACGTCAGACCAAACCTTTCTGCCCTCTTCTTCTTTTTCTCCTGAAACAAGTGTAACACACTTACATATTTTTCACAGAAATATTCTATATGTACAGGGATGAGACTGACATTTAGTAAAAAAGTTGGAAAATATGAAGTGGGGTCCCAGGGTGGCCTAGGCCAATGATATTTTTGACTCCTAAAAAGTCTGAAATCTCCCTGTTTTTCTATGATGTGTTTTTGCATTTAATTTTCTGTTGCTTCAGTTGTTCAAAATGTGGTTATATGTGACAAAATATGTTAGTTCAAGACAGTCAATTACTTCAGTTTGAGTTTAAGATACAAAGAGGATTGTATATAAAGTGTTGAATATACTATATTACCAATAACTGGTAAATTTATCAACATTCGTTTACCTCAACGTCAGAATTTGTGGTACCCACAACCACGCCAAATCTTTCCTTTCTCTTCAGCAACTTCTCTTGTTTATCGACCTTGAGATAAAAGCAAATCTAACATCATATTTCTTTACATTAAAAAAAAAAAAAAAAAAAAAAAAAAAAATATATATATATATATATATATATATATATATACTGCAATTTGTTCTCCAACAGTTTATGAAAGATCTCACAACAAATGTTACTCTAAACATTCTTGTGGTAAAATTTTTTTCAAGAACAAAATGCCCAATGAACAAAATGATCAGTACTACCTTCCAAACAGAAAATAAAAAATAATAAATTTTCAGTCCCTAAAATATTGGCCTTGTTTGCTTTGAATCAATCTTTTGAAAAGCTTAGCAAACAGTTATAAAATATGTAATACATTTTATTCAACAAGTTGTCCACTTGATGAAAATGACATTGTACTTACATTTGACAGAGTGGATGAAGTTGTTATGCCAAATCTCTCTGCTCTTTTCTTCAGCTTCTCTAAGTCTGCAGCCTGAAAAACATCAATGGCAACTTGTAAAAGTGATCTCTACACAAGTCAATGTAAATATTAAGCCAAAGAAAACAGTTGCAATGAATTACAAATGTATACGAGTTTTCCCTACCCAGAAAAAATAATAAAACAAATTATCCAAATGAAGCCAAAAGAACTTCTTGAAATCATGCTGTAGTTACTTACTTTACTTCATTTTAAATATTTGAGTCAAAATAATGCTTTTTCAATTACAACTGTTCCTATATATATATATATATATATATATATATATATATATATATATATATATATATATATATATATATATATATCCTTGGTGACACCCGCTGGAGCACTTGATACGTTTCAAGGGGTTACATACTCCTTGAGAATTACAAACATTTGATACTCCAAAGCAAGGGACAATACTTTATGATTAATAACTTTTTTTTTTGCATATATTTCTAAGTATCAGCAACCTGGGAATCACTTACTGGAGCAGTTGTTATGTTTCCAGATGTTTTAGTTTTTGTGTCAGCTGGAACTGGAAGCCCAAACCTGAAGTGAAGCAGAGACGAAAATCAATACTTATATGTAAATACTTTCAAAGGGAAAAACTGAAAAAATTTTAAATAGATCAGGTGTACTGCCTTAGGACATGCCTTTTATTTCTCTTAGAGTGATGAAATGGCTGTCAAAAAATGTATACACCCTTTTTACAAAAATTGTAGTATTACATTAAACAACTCACTTTTCTGCTCTCAGTTTCTTTTTAGCTTCTTCTGAAACTACTCCAAACTTTTTTGCCCTTTCTGCCAATCTCTGAAAAGGAGAGTTCATCAATAATTCAGTTTCTATTACTTTTTCCATACTAACAATGTGTCAGATGCAAACAGTGAAAGCTAATGAGGAGGTTATCCTAACTGTAGTCTTTACCCTTAAAACATTATCCATGTTCTGCACATCGGCAAATGTATACTTTTTCTATAATAAGAAGAGAAAATCTAAGGACTCTTATAATATAGGATAAGGTACACGATTTTCAATTTGCTCAAATCACTGGTAAATTATTGAGGTGGTTAGTGATAGTTACAGCATGAGTCATCCACATACAAAAGCTTAAAATTATATCGCAGTGCAGAAAGTTACCACAGGATGATTGCACTTGTATTTAGCTCAAAATACAAATGCAATTATCCTTTGGTGCAAAGTGCCAGCTGTGGGGTAACTGCGTTCATCACTTTACCCTTTATACTGAGTATTACCTCCGCGTCAGTCATTCCTGAGACTTTGGTCACATGGTCACCGCCCCCGCCAATGGCGTTATTGGTCAGTGTCACAGATTGTCTGAAGAGAATTAATTGGTCAAATAAGTTGCAAGTGAAACCATCTGATAGGCCCATATAAAACTCTTTATAAAAATATAAATAAGGCTGAGTTTCAAAGCAATTGGCATGTACACTTTGAAGTATCTTGAGGTCAGAATATCCCAGACAGTAATCAAATAACTTTGAATTTTTTTAAAAGCATAGTAGAATTGTAATTCTTTAGTACGACCTTTTTAATATTTAAATAAACCGAATTGTAAAAAATTGCAATTTTCCACCTCTTCTCTTGCAAAGGTTTAACTGTTACAGGTTTTTTGGTTGCTGTGGTTGGCTGGGCGGCAGGTTTGGGTGGTGGGTCCTCTGTTAATACGTCATCCAGATCATCCTATAAATGATAATTAGTTCAAGTCAAGTCATCATTGCAGTGACCTCATAAACATTGGTGAAAGTTATAAAAACTGAAAATCCTGACATAGCTTGCAATTTTTCATCTCATTTATACCATATGAAAAAACATCAAAATAGAGACTAAAAATCCTGAAAACTTTCACCCATGCATAAATAGTTCATATGTTAAAATTATCTCAACCCCTGCTCACTTGTGTACTGAAGATGATTTAAAACAGTCTTACATGCATAACAATAATTCAAAATAATTTAATAGAAATACATCATACTTTTTCATATGAAACCTCTCATATCATGTACATTTTGCATTAACATTTTGATATAATCTTTAAAATGTTACATCTTGTTGGTAAAAAGTCTAAGCTATACCAGTTATCCAAAAAAATCCATTTTGCTTTTATACTTACATTCAGCAAATCTTCATTAGCTGTAATGAATTAAGACTTCATTAGCAAAATAACAAGAATATCTCATGAAATCTAGCTAATTGTGAATTGCTTTAAGGCAAAATATTTCATGAAATCATAGCTTTTTGCCAAAGCAATTTCAGAATTTTATCAATTAATTTTGTCCATCTTTTACTTATCAAAGTACAGAAAGATGACTCTTAACTGTGGATAGGAGGATGGAAGCTCAGACTTGCTTTCTATTGTCAAGTGATAAAACCACAACTAGACAAGGGGCTTATGCCTTTGAATCTGCTGAGCTTACTATGCCCCAGGCTTCGTCACGGAATGTAAACTACTAGACTAAGTTCAATACATTTTTAGTACTGCTGAAGACATAAATAAATCAAAAGCTACAATTATACCTGAAGCAAAAAGTTTGACAAAAGTCAGTGCACATCTCAAGAGCAAAATAAAAATCAAACGACCACACACATATACATACATACATACAAACACACACTCAAACAGTAGTATGCACACACATGTGAAAAACACACACACACACACATTTACCTGAGGCAAAGTGTTCCTGTAACCTCTGAACAAGGTCAGCTTTGTTCCCACTAACAGGAAGACCTAAGTTCTTCAGATGTGTCTTCAGATCTGCCACCTTCACAGGGCAAACAAGATTTACATTAATGCCTCATTTTTTAGAAAATCGATTGTTAACTGCTGGTGATGTTAGGTGATGAGAAATGAAGTGGATGTGCTCATACATTCCACCACTTCAAAATGCAGCCTGAGTCAATCTTATCAGCTTACTGCCTACTGGCCATTCACAGGGGCTGATTTGGGCTGTCTTCTGGGTCTTCCGGAAGACGGTCAGATTTTTAAGTTTACATTGAGGGGTATCTGATTTTTTCTGTCGGAAGACGATCAAAAATGGTGGATGGATCAACAAAGATAATTTGGAAGACTGTCAGAAAATATCTCTGGATCCGCCCCTGATTCAGACATATCAGTTTTCATTTTTTTAAATTTTTTTTTCTACATTTTAATGCATCACTGAGTGATGCACTGTGTACATTGCAAATTATAAAGGGTCATACATAAATGCACAATACAGGGCAACACAGCACAGTACACTTAAAAAAAAAAAAGGAAATGGTCATTTGCGAGAAAATGGGTGATACCTTACTAGCTTACTGATATAGTTGATTCCAACGTAATTAATCGATACAATTTCTTTACATTGTCTGGCCCTCACCCACGTTGGGCATGCAGTCATTGCTGGTGATAGACTCTTCTTGGCAATATGGCAAAGGCCCGCCATAAATAATTAAATTGTATGTGTTCTGCTGCATTGCGCATTTTAGTATAAACAAATTATAGATGCTTATCATACTGCAAAACTGGTGCGGTGTTGTGCACTTTAGCATGACCAATCATAAATACTTAAAAATGTGCAAAGTAACTGCTGTACCGCGAATTTAAGAAATAAGTTTTAAATATATCGTGTAGTTTTCTTAGTCTATCACCGCCACATTTACATGGCAAAGCATGTTCAGGTTGCCTCTGGATTACTAACACCATTATCAGACGCAGAAAGACATTGTACACTACGGGTTTAAAGCTAAAGCGGGGATTTTATCATGATTATGGAATTATTGCCATTGGTTTGAACATGGTAGTTAAATCGGAAGTTTGGGAAATCTAAAATGATCTCTTTAAATCAAGACAAGAAGAAAAGTTCCACCGTGCTACTCACGTCTTTAACATTCCCTTAAGGATAAAAACATCAACCAAAATGTCCAAATTTACCTTCATTCCCTGCAGATCATCAAGCGTCAGTGCCGAGTCCGCCATGCTGTTTGGGGTTGTAGTTACAGGCATTTGTGAGTATCCTTACACTTAACTGTAAATATTGCCTTTATTATTTAATTTTGAATTATTTTTACGACATGTAAGATTCTACTTTATAAGTGTTCAATAAAAATTGGTCTTTATTATACAGAATCAGTATCAAGAGTCGTTTATGGATAAAGAAATTTATCAAATGCCTAAAGCCTGTGGCAATGTCCCGGATGTGCGATTTGTTAACCTCCATTATCGAAAGAACTAGCACTCGCGCAAGTTACCAAATCCTGATTTTATGAACTTTTCATTTCACAATTATACATGAAAATGCACGGAATGTATTTGTGCGCATTTTAGAGTATTTGCAAATGAAGCAATTTCCTACAATGTTTTGAATTTGTGTCGTAAAAAAGGCCAAATAATGAATAATCCACGAGTCAAGGGACCCATGCAATTAACCTCGTGTGCACATTATTCTTTTTTAAATTATTATTAAAAAAAAAAAGTAATTTGAAGGATTGGAGCTTTTTTTACTAGAATTTTCTACGTTTGGACATTGCTACAAAAATTTAAACAGCGTTAGTTTGGTACATCCTTTATACTATCACAATAAATTATAGGCAATGGGGGTAGATTTTAATGTCATAATAACTTTCAGACTCAATAAATAAATAGATAAATGCTAATAGCCAAAAAAAAAAAAAAAAGAGATAAAGAATTAAATATATCAAAAACGGATTATTTGGACTCAGCCCTAAATAAAACTTTTTAATTAACACTCGAAGCTTTGCACTAGACGGAGTCCCTTCTGCGTCCCTTAGTAGGCCCTACTGCCCCGTTTGAGAGTAAAAAAAATCTGGTCGATCATTGAGCATTCATTTTGCAACCAAAGCTATGGTTGTGCCCCCTTTCTACGACCACAGCAATGCCAGTTTCATGGTGGCACAAACGACGCAGAAAGGAAGCCGTAAAGTGTAAAGGGTCATTCATTTTTTCCCCCAGAGTGCACTTTTAAAGATCGCTGTCATGTGCAAATGAACAATGCAGGCGCCAAGCGTCCGCGTGCAGGGACGGGGGGACATTTTTCATTAAAAGTAAAATTAAATGTTCATATAAAGAAAACAGTAGTAATATGTTGAGAACGTGTTGGGAAATATTTCTTTTTTCATTCCAAATGAAAAGGAAAATTTGCAAATATTTTCTACGATCTCATATTTGTGCAAATACAAAAAAGTAAAATGCAAATTTTGTTTCTTATCATTTCTAAAATAGCCTTCACTCATTGAGTTTTACCTTGGATGAAAAATTAAAAATAAATGAGAAAATAATACAATTCAGAAGAAAACACCACGTGAATTATGTATGCTAAAAATAAGTGTAAAATCAAAATAAAGCCACAATGTAAGTGTGATGCGTTAAAAAAAAAAAAAAAAAAAAAAAAAAAATGCCCACCCACTAGCACACCAATGAAATTTTGGCTGTGAAACGGGGCAAGTCAAACTTAGGGCCTTCTGGACTAACGCCCTTGGATCCAATTCCCTTAAATACCAGGTGTCCCATAGTCTACGTAGATGGGCCCAACTCTACTTTTATAATTACTAGCTTTTCTGTATTTTACTCAATTCCAGGAGGCTTGTCATTCAGTTAATCTGATTGCATTCAGCAAGAGTCCCCGCAGAGTTGGATCTATCTATGTATACCAGTGGTCTTAAGGGAATGGGGCCTAAGAGAAGCAGCTCCTCTCACCACAATTTTTCTCAAAATTGGGCAACCAAATTTCCAGGAATACCTGACTGACAGATCTAATCACATTATTGATCTGATAAAAACAATTTTGGGTGCTGTAAATTATTTTAATATGTATTGAAGATAATCAGAACAGCTTTTACAATTTTTCAGACATCTGATCCGATATGAAAATTTCAGAAACTTTTATATTAAAGCTCAAGTGCCAAATCTGTAAAATAATACTCTGCTGTTAACAAGTGGCTAACATGCTGTATGTTAGTTACATGTTACTATTTATGTTAAGTCAATCAAACTCAAAAGGTAATATTTAATATTTTATTCACTCACATTAATTTCTATAAATAAATAATAAAAAGAAAAAAAATGGACAGAGAGATATAATGTGAAAGTGAAATGAAATGTTCATTAAAAAATTCAATGCATGTACAACAGATACTTAGTAACAAATAACCAGACATAAATTATATGTCCACATCATTTAAAACCTTCGCTTACACTAGCTTCCCTTGATCCTTAGTAACCATGATTCCAAATCTCAAAGGCCCATGTCTTCAATACTATTACATGTCACAAGTCGTGGTATAATTAATGATAATATACATATTAATAAAAAGAAAAATAAATGCACATATTAGGACTTAATATGGAAAATTGATGCTGTCAGAAAGTAATGCTTACAAGGCCATGTTAACCATACTGACCTTTTCACCTTAATAAACTGATTGTGCTTTGTGTCATTTGCCAATTAAGTATATGGTCTGACTTTCGATTATACAATGAGAAATATTTTCATAAAATAAAGTCATCTATATGCCTGGTGCAATACCAATATCACAGCTGCCTCTCTTTATCTCCCTCTAAAAATAAATCACAACCTTTATAGAAACTTTGTTTACACAGAAATTAGACATCAATGAATTACATAGTTACTTCACAGAAATATTCGTACAATATTTACAATTGTTGGTTCATCTGCTGAATTAAGACCTCATATCTGAGCTATTGTAACTTAAGAAATAAATAGACCCTTCACAAAACTGATATCATATGAGAAATACCCCACCCCCAATGCTTCATTTGACGTGCTTGTTCCCAATTTCAGCATATAAGTTTGTATCTTACTAGTAAAACATAAGATAAACAACACAAAAAATTATGCTGGAATATGTAACTAGACTTGATGTTCATGCTGAAAGTATCTTAAATATACGGTACATGTACCAGTGCATGCAAGCACTCAGTAAATTTATCCAGAAAGAAAATATTGGTATTCTTCTCCAAAAGACTGGAAAACTGCTAGCTTCTTACAGGCACATTGTACATTGCAGAAACTGAAAAAATAAGAAATGAAATAAAATATAAATATTTTGTATGGTTTTGTCAAATTGTTGCATGAATTTGTAAGGTACCAGTATTTTATACATTTCTACTAGATAAAACTTTTCTATTTTCACAGCAAAAATAATTCATTTAAAGCCTTTAAGTAAAGGGATAATAACTCTTCATTTTCGTCAAAAAACAAATTTTCCTGGAATAAACAACAGAGTACAGCCATCAATGGAGGTCACGTGGTCTAAAGACAAGCTCAGATGTCAGAATAATAGCTATAAATGCCATTTTTGTGGTACAACAGAATATATTGAAATTTCTATGAGTTGTTCACAATGTTTTCTTTTTTTGTGAAATATAGATCTCATACAAAGAGTCATTATCCCTTTAAGTGTATTACATTCTGGCCTAAACATTAAGAGTAAAATCCTGAACCATTAACTCTTTTATTCTGAAATACTAGTAGATTGCACTTCTTTGCTATATATTTAATATATAGATGACTTTAAAATGAAGGTACTTAAATCAGAATAAAGCTTACATCATCATAGCTATAAGTGTATTGTCCTGTTTCATGCCCCCTATTCATTTGTCTATCTCTAGCTCTGAAAGCCTCTGTAACGAGAAAAAAAAATTTCAAATATATATATATTGATAAAATAAATGATAACAAAAATAATTAAGACAGAAAATAAGTATATCTGTTCATAACTAAATGAATCATAATGAAAATAATAAACACTGCAAACAATTGTTACTGTTACTATATCATTTTCAAAGTTTGAGGAACATACCACAAGTTGAAAATGTATATTTTTTTCACACATTTTTCTGGCAACTCAGACATGAGGAAACTGTCAGCCAAACCAGCCATGACTGCCAATTTTTGAAACTACAGGTCGACTTATAATATGTAATTGATTGTTGGGAACTTGCAGCAAGTGTCAAATTAAATCCCAAATTCAATTTTTGTAATTGTTTGTATAAGTCCACTGTCTTTATTCCAAGCATTAAACACTGACCTGTGTAGGCTCTTAATCTGACACTAAGAGATACAAAATCATCAAACGCAATCAAACATTTTCCATCATCCATGGCAGTTGAATAACGCTTCAAGAGCGTTGTCATTGCTTGCTGAGACAGCTTGTATCCTAAAAAGCAATTAAATGAATTAATGGATAAATTACTACTAGTATTTATAAGCTTCAAGATTGTTGTCATTACTTGCTGACAGAAAACTTGTCTCCTTAAATCCATTATGGGAATTCATGAATAAATGACTACTACTGCTAGTATTTATAAAAGCTTCAAGAGTGTTGTCATTGCTTGCTGAGATACTAGTAACTTGAATCCTAAAATCAAAGTATTTTTTTTTTTTGCTTTGAAAACTTTGTCAAGCTTGAAAATGGGTTGCTGAATAATTTTTTACAAGTTTGTCACTTAATTTGGCCAAGGCATTAAAATACATTCTAAAACAATTTTTAGTGTGACAAAATTTTCAAGTCTTTACTGTATGCTGCAGACATTCTGAACACATGCACCAAAACGAACAATGATTAATGTTATATGTACTCAAACAATAGAAATTGTTTAATAATATTTCTTTATAAGTTTACTTACCATACTTAGTAGATATGATAGTGTGGAGTTCTGAGGCCTCTATATACTTAGACCTGTTGACATCATATTGGCAAAATGTCTGGTACCAGTATACCAAACACTTGAGTAATTCGCTGAACTCATTCCAGCCCATTATACCATTTCTGTCTCTCTGATATATCAAGTTAATATGCATACAATACAATACAAACCACAATATATATTTACATTTGGTGGTGTTAAAAAGTGTGTTTTTTTAAATGACATGTAATCACCATCTGCAGCTATGTGCATATACAAAATGAGCAGAGGAAGAATAAATATGAGCCCTGTTACAAAACAAGGACTCAATGGTGACTTTAGGGAGTTGGAGAAAATTAATTTAAAATATATTTTAAGATTATTAATAGGGCAAGCAAAAGAGTTTTCTATACAGCATTTTCTACATTAATTATTATTGAATATTTTCAAAACAATTCAAATGTCTTCAGGTCTTATAAAAAAAAAAAAAAAAAATATATATATATATATATATATATATAAAAAAAAATATATATATATATATATATATATATATATATATATATATATATATATATATATATATATATTCAGATGACAACACAAAGTAAAATAAATCAAAACCAGATGGTAAACACTGGTAGGCTTTGTCAACTTCACTAATTTTTTCACTTCAAAATGCAAAACCAGTGCACATGTGTGTACATTTGATTCTTGTGCTTACCAACTGCATGTTAGTGTTAGACCTTATAAACAGGAAAAAAAAGAAAAAGAAACTGCAGATAATTTCAGAACCTCATCTGTCCCAATCTTGTCACTATTATTATTATTATTATGACGTGCAGCTGTTTCATGTGTTTTTAAAAGGATACATCCAACATGGCAATCATTATCCTGTACAAAAAATAATTAAATATTTTTAATAATAATAATAATATCCAGGGCAGCAAGTAGTTTGAAATGCCATTTTTAATTTATCTGACACACTAGGCTGAACTGATTTATATGAAATATTCCTTAAAAAGGCAAAGATTAGAAAACACAATTTCTTAAGACGATGTAAATTACATAATGAAGGCTCTTAATTTGTGACTACAATTATGAAGAATAAAAAGGAATTATTCAATATGCTGCACACTTCTTTCTAGAACTGAACATACTCACTTGCATAGCTCAAGACTCCAGCTAACTAAAATTAAAAAAATGCAATGATTGAAGAACAAAATCAGTTTATGCATATATTACCATAATTTGTGATTTTTAGTTTATATTGATTTAGCACTGAAATATTTTAAAAATTTGAAGTGTAATCACTAAATTAATCTGAAAATCAGGCTTAATCTGAACTAAATCTATTGGCAGCTTACTTCCATAGTAATCTCTTATGTTTTTGGTTTCATTCAAGATTTTGCAAAGTGCCTCTCCTTGTATTCCCCCTAGTCTTTGGGAAGCATAACTCATGAAGACTTGCTGAAGAGTCTGCTCTGTACTGAACTGCATAGCCTGAAAGAATTAATATATATTTGTGCATACTCACATTCATTTAGGATTGATAAAAATTGGAAACATTTTGTTCAAAAAGTATAATTTAGAAAACATGTCCAGTATTAGGAACACTAATATCTATCTTTACATTTGGGATCAAACTTAATTTTTATACCTGTACTTTTAAACTGTTGATTTTATTTTCCCTGTTGAATCTATATTACCCTCCAACAGACTGCTTAGCAAACTCAAATATATTAAGTTGTTAATGGAAACATATATGCCTTTAAACCTTGCCAGATGGGGGTGCATGGGGTGGGGGATAAATGATGGGGGTAGGGTGAGAAGGGGGATTTAACCCAAAGATCTCTACCTTTAGAAAAAAAATGAAACAATAAACTAAGACATAAAATATAAGATATAAAATATAAAATATTATGCATGTACATGGAACTAAACATGTTCTTGCACAAGTGAATATTCATACAATGAATAATAAATAAATAAGTAAATAATAAATGCATTAAATTACTTAACTAAAAAAAAAAAAAAAAAAAAAAACATTTGGACTTTTATTTGGTTTCCCCACCTGCCAGGCATTGGTCTCAAACACGTTCTTGTAAAACGGCTGATGGTAGCTCCCGTAGGTGGCACTGGCCTGTGGAGGCGGCTGGTGCTGGTTGATCATGCCGTAACCATGGGTAGGTTGGGGCTGGCCGAACTGCAGCTGTTGTTGCCAACCTTGCGCCTGACCCCACCCTCCGCCCTGAGGAGGGGGAGCTGACTGGCCCATCGGATACATGGTTTTCTTTTGAGTGTTGACGAAGTTAAAAGTCAGTTTACGTCTTCCCAGCAACGGAAAGTAGGTCAAATTTGCTCCGCAGCGAATGTGCTTGCAACAGTATTAATTGAGTTTTCTTAAGTTCACATAAGTTTTCTCAGTTTGCATTGCGGATTTATATTATATATATTTATTTAGTTAAAAAGATATTAAAATAATTCAATGTTAATGAGAAAATTATAATCCCATCGTTAAAGTGCAGAATAACCACTAACCTCGTAAGGAAATTGGAAAATAAATATTATTGCTACTGTTTAGAAACTTGGTGAATTTCTTTACCACGCGTATGTTCCATGTCAAAATTGTATACTTTGAAGGTGAAAGTACATTCTATCTAAACTTGAAGTAAAACAGGTATTTATTGCTGTCTGAAACTCTCGACTTCGGAAAGTCTCAACTCCTTTCGAGACTCATTGTTTTCATATGCAGCCAAAATGGCTTCCGCCGGCAGAGGTGGACAATCCCCATTGTCTGGGGAACTTGGTTCCCGTCCAGTGATGGGAGGGCAGGTACAAACATCCACTGGAGAAATGGGGAGGCCCAATAATTTGCAGCGCATTGCACAGAAGAAAGCACAAGTCAGAAATTACCCTCGCAACAAAAAATTGGAGAAGTTAGCAGTGTATTCTTCGTGCAAGGTTAGCATCATATCCATTCCAAACTCTAAAGACTTCATAGACTTAGTGCTAATATTCAAGTTCCATATTCACTTTGTATATATGTCGGTGTTCAAGTGTCATAGTTTTCCCCAAACACGGAAAAGCAAAGTATGATGGTCGATACGTTACCTTTCCAGAGAATTTTAACTCTCTCTCTCTTACACGCACGCACACACACACATACTTGTCTATGTGTACCAACCGAGGACATCAGCACAACACCATACAACCGAGGACATCTTATTCCTTGGTTAAATCAAAATAAAAAACATTCAATTTAGGGTAAAATCTATTCGAGTATGAATGTTATAAATTAATTTTTTATAAAAACTAATTTTTTGCTGACAAGAATTTTACATTCTAACCGAGGACACACACGGACACACACACGGACAGACACTACACATTACAACCGAGGACATGCATGCATCTACATGTAATAATGATTGTACTTTTAATGCAAAGCAAATTTTATATAGCGTTACTTTGCAGCAATTCACATTTTTATGAAATTCTTTCATATTTAAGGTAAATTCCAAAATAACACCAGAGGTGATGATTAAATGAACAGTTATACAATATTTAATGCTGGGCTTTGCNCACACACACACACCAGACTGCTTTTGGATATAATTATTACCCCTATGGTTCTTTCACAGTCTGAAGGGTGTAAGTGCAATGGCTGGAAGAACCCAAACCCTCCTCCCACACCATCAACGGTGGATGTATCTCAGCCACTGGCCAGTCTGACTGACCCCTGCAGAAGCTGTGGTCACACTTTAGGTAAGGAGCGTAAAATGAGTATGATCCTTGTTGGTGAACGTTTTAGCTAATCTATACAGGATTTGCAACTCTATACAGGATTTACAACCAAAATCGACAAAATTTTCCCCAGGGAAAAAAAAATTATCCTCCATACTAGTTATTACTCAACCTGTCTCTGCACTTGAATTTGAGATTTTATTCCATTTTTAATTCCATAATTTAAGTTCTAAATGACTGTCCAGTTTATTAGTTGTGATCAAAGTAAGAAGTGAAATAAATTGTAGTGTATTTATTTTCTATGGCTTTGTTAATTTATTTCAGGTTGCCATGTGTCTCATCTAGAAACAGTAGTAGAGGAAGAATTAAACCGTCTTCTTGGGATTGTTGTAGATGTAGAGAATCTTTTCATGTGTGTCCACAAAGAAGAAGATGCAGACACAAAACAAGTTTATTTCTATTTATTCAAGGTAGACAATTTATTGAGTATTCTAACACATTCTAGATGGAAAAATTGTCTTAGTTGATCTTGCAAAACAATTTTTTAATCAAATTGTTTTACAAATTATTTTGTAGTTTTGCATATATATTTTTTTCAGTGAAAGCAATGTTTCAACATAACAAGATTGTGATTTCATCATTTGATTAGTGTGAATTTTTCTGAGAATAAGGATTGAAACATTGAAACATTCTTATTTTGACACAATATTTGGACTTGCAGCTTCTGCGAAAATGCATATTGAATATGAGTAAACCATCTGTGGAAGGTCCTTTAGGAAACCCACCCTTTGAAAAACCCAGTATTGCCAAGGTTTGTGTTCATAATCAGAGCAAATTGCTGTCTGTGGATTTCATTAGAGATAGTATAACTGTCTTCTTCACTACAAAACTAATGATTAACATCGACTTACTATATGATTCTCTTTGCTGAGGAAAAATTGTTTGTCTAGAAATTTGTAAATTTCATATTGAAGAACAGTGGCAAATGGAGAGACTGTTCTTTGATTATGCATTAAATTCTGAATATTAAGATTTTATCTTGGTATTGCAGGGTGTAACAAACTTTGTAGTTTACAAATTTGGCCACCTTGCACAGAAAGAATGGCAGACTATGTATGATCTGGCTAAGATGTTCCTTCACTGCTTGAACCACTGGAAGTTAGAGACACCAACAGCACGCAAACAGAACTCTCAAACAGATGATCTGTCTGCGTACAAAGTGAATTATACAAGGTACGATGTGATATTGGCTCTTTCTAAAGATTTGAATAGCAAACATAGAAAAAGAGGCAGACCTAAGACCATATGGAGAAGGACTGTCGAAGCAGAGTTAAAACAACTGGGAGAAAGCTGGTGGACAACCCGACACCTGGCTAGAGACAGGGAACAGTGGAGGACCTTTGTTGATGCCCTAGACGCTTTGACGTAAAAGGAGATAGTAGTATAGTAGTATAAAGATTTGAATGAATTAGTGGAATTAGTGCATAGGTACATTTGTTTGTATAGTCTCTGCAGTAATAATTGAGGGTACCACTTTTACTTTTCCCCAGATGGTTATGCTATTGCCATGTGCCAGCGTTCTGTGACAGTCTTCCACGCTATGAGACGACACTGATATTTGGCCGCACACTGCTGCGCTCAGTATTCCAGACAATGAGGAGACAGCTGCTGGACAAGTTCAGAGCTGAGAAGGATAAGATGCCACCGGAGAAAAGAACACTGGTGCTGACACATTTTCCAAGGTATAGTCAAGGATAAAAATATTATTTTATTTTATTTTATTTTAAATAACTGATAAAGAAGCAACCCTTACAGATAAACCACAGTAGATTGAATTTGTTGATACTAATGACATAATACTAAGGCCAAAATTTGAATAATATAAACATGTCAGATGTACAGGATTATTGCTTATACAAATTGATTTTTGAAACAAATATATTCCATTATTAATTGTTCCTTTTCATCTTACTACTATGGCCAATAAATAACAAGAAAATTAAAAAATAATTTAAATGTGAAATTCCAGGTTTCTGTCCATGTTAGAAGAAGAGGTGTATGGTGCTGCCTCTCCTATCTGGGATCCTGAATTTACACACAAACCTGCCAATATTTCCAACTCGCCACCTGCCACACCCACAGGTAAATGTCTCCGTAAATATCCTGTCCAAGACAGTTCCATCATCACAACAAATACAGTGCATCTTCAGTCCAGGGCTCCGTAACTTGAAAGCATCACAAATTGCACAAGCGTCTCTATTCCATAATTCGGCATATACTCGCCCCATGTAGGCCCTGATAGCCTCGAAATGAAAGGTGATTTCCAATGCGCGATGCTTTCATGATATGGAGCCCAGAATTCACACACATATGCAGGTTAACTATTTTGATTCTCTTTCACGCCTTTAAGGTGATGGTCTGTTACCTAACAACGTGAGAACTGTTCTGTTTCATATATTAATACTCATTCCATTATCACTTTTCACGAACTTATATATTGTATTATGGCCCACAAGCACTACATTGACATTGATGTGTAACATATATAAACAGTAACAGAAAAGTAGTTTTTCATCCTTTCCATAAATAATATTGGTCTTAGCGCATTTAGCTAGCATAATAATAGTATGTTTTATTTTTTCCAGATGTGTCATCTCCCATCGTAACATCCCCGTCTGGTGCCGGTGTGAGTGGCTTGGCAAGGTTCCAGACTTCTGGAGTGACCACGTCCACAGCGTCCAGTCTAGAGGGGTTTACGCAGATCAATGTTAGTCCTGGACTCATTAGTGGAGCGCGGAGGACGTCTAAGAGCAAAGATACAGGTAGGTTTGCTGTATTGTGTCACAGGCCCAAGATACTGTCATACCTTTCACAAGTGGATATTTTTCTTGTCACTCAAAATTGGAATTGATATTTACTGCCAAAGGCAACAACGAGACTTCACACCATTTCTCATTTGAAACAATATTGTTGATTTTATTTGAAGTGTAAGACATATATATTTTTTTTAATTCTAAAAAATCAAGTTTGTGTGTCCCAAATCCAAGTATTATAAGTATAATGTCTATCATTGTAGAATATGACTTAATTTTTTGGGGTACTTTGACTTTTATGGCTTCTCCAAGAGTTATACAACCAGTGCACTTTATTTCTGCAGAGAAAAGAAAACTGGAGGACGTGCCAGTCCTAGAAGAGTCCAAGAGAAGACGGATCGATGGTGATGTTCCAATGGAGCTGGTCAACCAAGTCATTGCAACTATCTCAGACCCAGATCTTATGTTAGGGCCAGAGGTAAGCTTCCCCCCCCCCCCCCTCCCCTTTATAACACATAAAGCTACGATATTATAATATAGATGTTTAGAATTTGTCAAGTGTAATGACATCTTTAATTTATCTAGATTTTTTTTGCTCTTGTCTATATGCAACTTGAAATATTTCAAATAAATCTGATTAACTTTGGCATATATTAAGGCCTCAACTTTAGTAAGATATTATTCATTTGTGTATAAACAAATCCTGAATATGATGTGACAGATAATCTTGTCCCAAACTTCAAAGCACTTTGCTGTATATGAAGAGAAGTGCAATGCTTACAGGTCTATGTCCATTTCCAGATATAAGAACCCATTATCTGGACAGTAGTCTGTATCTTGTTTCGAGATGTGAAATGGGCTGAGCTCCCACCACAAATAGTGCAATCACATGCTGCCCAGACAACCTGGATATCTTTAAGTCTGTGTTGGCTTATATGACATAGAAAATGGCCTGTTCAGAACTTTATCTGACTGTGTTGTACTTTTCATGGTCTGATTATTTTTTCCTCATCATGTTCTGTGTTTGAGGCTGTCCTATAGATGGCAGCACATTATACATATTAGGAGATTGGTTCTCTGATGGCTGCAGGGGTGGATTTTCTGGAGCCTGCTTTTCAGTTGGAAGATCTAGAATGTGAGGTTTTTCTGGGGACTGCCCCAAAATAGGGAAATTGACTTGTCTTTCTGGGGATTGTACATATGGCATTACTATGGCCTTCTCAGAAGACTGTCCTGCAGGAGACTGCCCAAAAGATGGCAGCACTGGTTGTATTTCTGGAGACTGTTGCATAGAGGGCAGCTCTAGTGGCTTTTCAGGAGATTGTATTTCAGGTTGCAGGATTGGGTTAAACATTTCAGGTGACTGTTGTCTAAGGATGGGCAGATCTGGAGATCCTGCAGATGGCAACTGTAAAGACTTCTCAGGAGGTCCCACATTGGGGGCTGCTAGGTTTTCAGAAGACTGTTGTACAGTTTGCAGCACTTCTGGTTTTACAGGACTCTGTCCAGCAAATGACAGCCCTAAAGAATTATCACTAAACTTCAAAGGCGATGGCAGCACTGGTTGTATTTCTGGAGACTGTTGCATGGAGGGCAGCTCTAGTGGCTTTTCAGGAGATTGTATTTCAGGTTGCAGGATTGGGTTAAACATTTCAGGTGACTGTTGTCTAAGGATGGGCAGATCTGGAGATCCTGCAGATGGCAACTGTAAAGACTTCTCAGGAGGTCCCACATTGGGGGCTGCTAGGTTTTCAGAAGACTGTTGTACAGTTTGCAGCACTTCTGGTTTTACAGGACTCTGTCCAGCAAATGACAGCCCTAAAGAATTATCACTAAACTTCAAAGGCGATGACACTACTGGATTTTGAAGAGGTTGTCCTGAAGGTGGCAGTATCAAAGACTCTTCAAGAGGCTGTTGCATCGGTGGCAGCGCAATAGATTTTTCAGGAGATCCTCCTACAGGTGGCAGCACAATAGATTTTTCAGGAGATTCTCCTACAAATGGCAGCACATTAGATTTTTCAGGAGATTCTCCTTCAGGTGGCAGAACAACAGATTTTTCCACAGATGGCAAAACTGGAGAATCTTCTGGAGGATGTGCAGATGGTAGTAACTTCTGAATGAGCAAACTGTTCTTTGTGGCCTGTGTCTTCATGCCATTATAATCCAGTGTTGTTCTAGGTGGCCATGTCTCTCCCTTAAAATCTGCCCCTGGACTGCCATCCATACCAACATGTAATGTATACATGGTATTTGGTGTCACGAAGTCAAAACTGTTGGCCATAGTCATATTCAAACTATTCAATTTAACACTGTTATTGTTGTGGCAGCCTCCTTCTGGGCAACTAGGGGCTGCAGATAGCTTTCTTCCAGCTTTTATGTAGCTATCTGTTATTTTATAGAAAATCAAAACACCTAGCAGACACAGTATGAAAAAATACAGACGCTGGGATCTCTCCGTTCTGTGACTACAGAGTTTGCCATAAGCTGCGAGCCTCATCTTGTGATCTGTCATTTTTAAGACCAGTCACATCTATAGTTGAGCGATGTACTTTTTTTGACTAATAATGATATGCTGGTTGGAAGGTCTCATGTTGAAAATTTTTGAATATGCTGGTTGACTGTGCTTAATGTTAGTGATGTGATTCTTTCAGCTGGTCTTATGGTTTTCCTCTTCATTAAATGTATTCATTTATTACATCTATTTTTCCCTCCATGCTCATTAAAAAATTTTTTTAGTATTTTTAGTATATGTTAGTAAATTTTGTTTGTGAAACAATAATTAAAGTTACTTTTCCTTAGTCTATTCAATCTGTTTAATTATTCATGATCTGTTATGTTAATTATTCAACTGTCTTCCAGAATGAGGGTATCACTTGGCTTAGTATACAAATAGTACAGCACTTTCTTTACTTACACTAGATCAAGTAATAACTTGATCATATCTCAGACAGCAGCTCTTTTTTTTTTTCAGGATTTAAGGTTATACTGGTATGTTCAGACCACAACCTTCATATATCCTTCTGCAGAGAGTACAAAATGCAAATGTCACATACACTGTACGCAAGTTGTTTTACTTACAGGCCACAGTCATTGTATTGTTTGAGTAGGCAGTGTGGTTCATATTGATCATACATTGAATACTGTACAGACTATACCATGCCTATAAACCTTAGATATGAGTGCATACATGCAAAACGATTTTATCCTTCATGAAACTAGGAATCTGAAACAAAAATGTTTGTCACTTTATCTTTAGTATTTACTTTTACAAAAAATGAGCATTTTCTTTGTATATCCAAGCTTCCTTAGGAATTTAGCATGCACCAAGGAAGCAGCTAACTATACCACACATATAAAAAAAGTCCAAATGCATATATATATGTATTTATATTTTTCCAGGGTTATGGGACACATCCACTAGTAATGAATCATTAAAAGACTACCACACATGTTAAAAAGGCTAAATCTGTATAAAATATAACACAAGTGTCACCTTCTTCAGACCACAGCCTTCACGGCCCACTCGGCCAGAGATGAGGCAGCCAGGATAGAAGAGAAGAAGGGAACCATTGAGTTTCATGTGGTGGGGAACTCTCTCAGTCACAAGCCCTCCAGACAAACCCTGCTCTGGTTGATAGGCATGCAGAATGTTTTCTCCCACCAGCTGCCCCGGATGCCCAAGGAGTACATCACTAGGCTGGTGTTTGACCCGTAAGTCATAGTTCACAGATGAAAGTTTCATATATATTTGCTTATTTATTTAGAAAAAATAAAAAGAAAAATTAAAAAAAAAAGTTTTTAGCTTTCAAAGGTTCAGTTTCACCTGTGATAGTGACCCACTGGTCACTGTGACTAATATACATAGTAGACTACTAGTCTGAAGATGATATTTATACGTTTTAGAAATCTTCCTACTTAACAGAAAATTATGAAAAATGTGTTCAAAGTTGGAGATGAAATATTTCATATTTATTTGGACATTCAGATATTTGGACGATATATCTAAACTTTCTATACACAGTTGCATGCCTTCTGTTCTAGCATTTTTGGAATTTTTTAAAGATACACTTTCATCTCTGCAAAGTTGGTTTTAATTGAATACTTTCCAAGAAGGATATCAAGTAAATTCCATTCCACTGTGTCATAGGCTTACACCATCTCTGTTCTTCCAGTAAACACAAGTGTCTTGCCCTAGTGAAGGACGGTAGGGTGATAGGTGGAATCTGTTTCCGTATGTTCCCAATGCAAGGGTTCACTGAGATTGTCTTCTGTGCTGTCACTTCTAATGAACAGGTCAAGGTAGGTTGTGATTGGGGTAAGGTAAAAAAAGTCTTGGATAAAACTTTGTTTAAGGTTCAAATTAAATGCACATTTTAAATCGTGTGTAAAAGGATAGACCAATTGGCAAAAATAAAGTCTGTAACGGTTAGTCAAAAATGAAATAAAATCTACAAGAAAGTCTCAAATTCCAAGGCCAAATTGGCTGAGATCAAACAAACCCAGGAAAGTGGATTGAGTAAAAGAAGAAAATTAGGGACGAAACAGTTCAGTTTCTATGTCATAAACTGTTGGATATTATAATGACCCATGGCGTGGTCAGTCATAGAAAGATTAATGCTCCTTTACCTCCTAGACCTAACTTTGTTGCATGTTACTGGTATATAAAAACAATGCTGCATTTTTCCAGGGTTATGGTACACATCTAATGAATCACTTAAAAGACTACCACATTCGACACAATGTTCTGCATTTTCTCACATTTGCTGATGAATTTGCAATAGGTTACTTCAAGAAACAGGTAAATTTAGTAACATCTAGATCTAATAATTGTTGCGTTTCTAATATATGTGTTTGTTTAAGTTTTTTTTCTTTTTTTTTTGGGGGGGGGAGAGTGTTTTTTTTTTTTTTAATTCTCATTATGTATGATTATGAGTAAAACTTTGAGCAGCATCACATGGAAGAAACAGATGATTAACAATCAATGCTACATTGATTATTTGTCCTAATTTGGGTAATAAACTTGCTTACTTTGCCCAAAAATTCCTAGGGATCATGTTCCTCATTAACTTCAGGGCTTTTCCAAAGACATCAAGCTCCCAAAGACGGCCTATGCTGGTTATATCAAGGACTATGAGGGAGCAACACTGATGGGGTGTGAACTTAACCCCAAGATACAGTACACACAGTTCTCTCATGTTATCAAGAGACAGAAGGAGGTGAGCACAGAGCATCTGCTTACTTTAATATTGTAACAATCATGAGGTTTTACTATTTAGTATCAGACACAAAATGAACTGATGTACTTACACTCATGAACACAGGTATAGTAAAAAACAAATGGACTCAACTCAAAGGTATAACCAATATTAAGCTAAGTTACTACCTACACTTGGTTACCAAAGCTTACTTCCAATACCCTTATATAAAATGAAATAAACTGGTCTTGTGATTCACTTTTTACAATATTATCATAACACAAAAGATGCAGAGGAAGTAGTTTTTTTTTTTTGCAAATTTTTGAACATGCAGTGATAAGAGGAACTAATTACATGCACTAAATTTTTGCAAAAATTGCAGCACTTTTAGATTTTCTGGAGACTGCCCTACAGATGGCAGCAGCAGTCTGTCCGTAATTCAAACTCAAACTTGAAACTTGAGCATATTAATTTTTCTACTATAACAATATTCTGAGTTTTGTTCTTTCAGGTTGTCAAGAAGCTAATTGAAAAGAAACAAGAAGAGGTACAGAAAATATTTGCTGGTTTAAAATGTTTCAAAGATGGTGTCCGTCAGATTCCCATTGAAAGCATTCCTGGGGTGCGTGAAGCAGGGTGGAAACCTACCATGGACCCAGATTATGGGTGAGAAGCTCATCATAGTCATTGGTCGTGTTCACATCAGGACTCACTTAGACTAGATTGTCTGAAATATAGTTTGAAGTTTTTGGTGGGATAACTGTAGTAAGTGTTATTAGGTCCAGTTGTGACGTCTGTCAGTCTGTTTAGGGTCATAAATTATGGGTAATGTGAATGTGTCTAAAGTATGGATCTTTAACTATGTAGGGACAGTAATACTAAATGAATTAAATATTGGTTTCTGTTTTGTTTTTGTAGGTAAATACCAATGTACCAATGACAAACAGTGCTCAAACCTTTATTTAATTTGAAGATAAGCATTAAAATGCTGTTCATCTTTTTCCTTTTTAGTAAAACTCCCATGGATCAGGAACAGCTGTATGGAATTCTCAAGTCAGTTTTGCAACAAATTAAGGTAAAAAAAAGAAAAAAACATACAAATTTAATTTCATGAAATGTCACTCCAAATCTGCTGTAATGATTATATACTGCTGGATATAATTTGTTTGTTTCTTTACCTCTGCGGAATTGGTAGTCTGCTGCTTTATAGTGATGTCTGTAGTTATGCCGAGTGTTTTGTTGAAATCATGTTCTTTGGTATCAGAATGCAGGGTTATTTACCTTTAGTTTCTTTTATGGGCTTTGATCATGTAGAATTATGTAATTAACTTTTTTTCAGAGTCATCCAAATTCTTGGCCTTTTCTAAAACCTGTTGACAAGAGTGACGCACCGGACTACTATGATCATATAAAATACCCAATGGGTGAGTGCATATACCTCCATCTATGTATGGTGTATAAACTTTCAACTGTTTATGCCTTGCAAATTTCACCACATGTCAAACATACCTGTAAAAGATACTCAAGATGTTAGTAAGGATAGTGTCACTTTTACCTCCTGCCAGGGATAGTCTGTGCTTCTGATTTTTGTATTAGTTTAAATTGATTTTAACCATATTACCAGCATTAGAATGAGAAATATCTAACTACATTTGCGCAAATTTTTTTATGTGAATTTGCTATTCATCACCAGGATTGCATTTTGAAATATGTTTTCTTATTCTATACAACATGTGAAAAAATTGTAACCTCAGTTCTCTTTCTCTCTCTGTCTTCAGATCTGAAAACAATGAGTGACAGACTGCGTTGCCGCTACTACTGTCACAAAAGACTTTTTATAGCAGATCTGACCAGAATCTTCACAAACTGTCGCACATACAACAGTCCAGACACCGAGTACTACAAATGTGCTAACAATTTAGAGAGATTTTTTCAAAGTAAAATGAAGGAAGTGGGGCTGTGGGAAAAATGAAAACTTAATTTTTTTTCCTTAAGGAAGAAAAAGAAATCATTATGATGACTAGTGACTACAGGTGCAATAGAATTTTTTTATTCATATTTTGTATTTTAATTTCTAATAAGAAATGCATTTTCTGAAAATGCGAAACTCTTTAGCGAATAGGATTGGATAATGAAATAAATTGGAAATTTGCAAGACTGGGACTAAAATCATCCCTTACTTCTGTAATATGTAATGTCACATATTTTGATAGGAAAATAGCCATATTTGTTTGATAATGTTTTCTGCATAGCAGACAGAAATTATATCTGGAATACCATTGTCAATAATGCTATCTAGATAAAAAAAAAATGAATGTACACTGATTTTGTATCACTTTTTTCATGTGTTCTTTTGTTACCTTCTTACTAATTCATTGCTGAAGATTTTCAGCAGCTTTCAAAACGCAATAAAGATCTCCGGTCAGTTCAAACGGTATTTCAACATTTGTGGAACTGCTGTTTGATATGAAAGCTGACTAGCAAGATCTCTGTAAAAGCTTAACATCAATAAGTAAATAAAATAAAGTTTTCATTCCTGCACATTTTTTTTCAGACTTACAATGTAAGAAGGCATTTGTCTGGCATTGATATTGAAAAAAAAAAAAAATAAATAAATAAATAAATAAATAAATAAATAAAAATTAGGAAAAAGTTATTAAAAGTATGTAAGGCCTTTTCACACCAAGTAATTTACATTAAAGCAAAATGGGTGACCCAGTTGTAAAAACCCTTGATAATACTAGCTCTCATTTAAAGTTAAATTTGTTATGCAACTTCCATTGATTGCTGTGTATCAAAGCCAATCTTAAGATATGCATGTGCAATTTTTCCTCTCTCAGATACATGTTAGACTTGGTTTGAATTCTTTTGTTAACTTCTTTAACGTCTTCCAAATATCATAAGAATTCTTCGTCACCCTGAATTTTTTTCCTCTCATTTTATGGATGTTTTGGTAAAACTTACGTGTTTATAAATGTAAACATCGAAAGTGAGTTTTGGACGCTACTTGTCGAAAACGAGCTAAACTACTCCCACTGTGTTTTAATATTTGAATCTATATGGTCTCTAGAATAAGTCTTACAATTTTTTACGCAGAAATGGTATTTTTTTAATTAAAATGTCATAAATTCGAACATTGTATCGGCTTATCTTGAGAAAAGCGCCATCTTCACAATTATTGATTAGAAAAAAATAGGTCAAAGCTATCGCAACCGTGACCTGAAGACACCTGAAGAAGTTGTGATGAAAACGGCTTTAGCGAAGTATTTGAGTGTGCAAGTGGTTATATTGTCGAAATTTAAGCAATGCCAAGCCTAATGTTAACAATTTTGTCGTTGCCATGAGCGGAAAAAGTTACTGTGGACTGAAATATTCGCGTTAACCCGCACTTGTTTTGATTGCCGCCGGCTGCAAGGACGCAACTAAAATATCAAGTAGCTGATGGTTGATTTGTACTGCTGAGAATGCCTCGGGCTTTCCTGGCAAGGAATAAGCACAAGAGAGGGAATGAAGAGGAGACTGAAGGTGTGTACAACTGGCCAGTTTAGATATGTGTAAAGATGCCAGTGTTTGGGTCCAAAATGGCTGCTCTTTTGTTGCGGTGAAATTAACTGGAGGTGAAGGTCGCGTGCCTTTTGCCTTCTTGTGAAACTAATACTTAAAGGGACTGTGCTTTACTTTTTACTACATTATTTTGATAAATTCATTTAAATTTTTAAAAAATATCCTACCAATCTTGTCTTTGGCTTCACGCCCATGAATAAATGTAAATAAATGAATAGTAATAATAATGAAAAATTGTAGATCTATTTTTGCAGTATCCCCCCCCCCATATTATAATATAATTCTCTTATTTTAATGTTAATCAAAATTAAGCTATGTGGTGACTTTGATCAATAGTCAAATAGATTTTAGTTTGGATATTCAAAAAGAATTTTTAAGAATTTTTTT